GCCTATCGAATTTTATAGTCGTTTTCGTTGTCGTACTCCGAACTAAATTGAGGTATTTCGGATTTGTGTACACATAAAAGTCTTCTTCCAGACTCAACTGAGGTAAAGCGTTTTTATACCCTTCACCACACTGTGATACAGGGTATTATGTCTTTGTGCATATGTTTGTAACAGGCAAAAGGAAACGAGAGAATATACATAGAATCACTTACTGAGTCGATTTACGCATGTCCGTCCGTCCGTCTGTCCATGTTAAATTTTAAACAATGTAGAGGTCGCATTTATGATCCGATTTGGATGAAATTTGGCACAGCTCATTTGTTTGGCCCAAGGATGAACCCTATTGAAATTTGGAAAAATCGGTTCAGATTTAGATATAGCTCCCTTATATATTTTCGTCCGATTTAAGGAAAATGGCGAACCAAAGTTCCTATATATCTTTCGATTTGCACGAAATTTAGCACAGCGTAATAAATAAGGTCTAGAATGATGTGTGCAAAATTTCGTGAAAATCGGTTCAGATTTAGATATAGGTCCCATATATAGCTTCGCCGGATTTTAGGTAAATAGTCCACTAAAGTCCCTGGAAATCTTTTGATTTGCACGAAACTCGGCACAGCGTAATGAATAAGGTCTAGAATTATGTCTGCCAAGCTTCGTGAAAATCGGTTCAGATTTAGGTATAGCTCCCATATATAGCTTCGCCCGATTTTAGGTAAATAGTCCACTACAGTCTCTGCAAATCTTTTGATTTGCACGAAATTTGGCACAGCGTAATGAATTAGGTCTAGAATGATGTGTGCGATGTTTCGTGAAAATCGGTTCAGATTTAAATATAGCTCCCATATATATTTTCGTCCTATTTAATGTAAATGTCCACCAAAGTCCCTATATATCTTTCGATTTGCACGAAATTTGGCACAGTGTAATGAACCTGGAAATCGGTTCAGATTTAGATATGAATCCAATATATATTTTCGTCCGATTTAATGTAATTGGTGCACCAAAGTCCCTATAGATTTGCACGAAATTTGGCACAGCGTAATGAATTAGGTCTAGAATGATGTGTGCAAAGTTTCGTGGAAATCGGTTCAGATTTAAATATAGCTCCCATATATTTTTTCGGCAATTTTTGTTTTTGGTCCAAAAAGTCCCTAAATATTGCTCGATTTGCACGAAATTTGGCACAGCCTATTGTTAGGTCTAGAATGATGTGTGTTAAGTTTCCTGAAATCAGCTCAGATTCAGATATAGCTTCTATATCTGACCAAATAAAAATTTAGTATCGGTTGCAGAATGAAATGTTTATAGATCCAATCTCATTCCTTTAAAAATGCGAATTTTTTATCTTTGAATATACCCAAAGTGGTGAGCATATCTGGTTCTCATCAAAAAAGTATCTATTCCTATTGCCTCATCCAGTATAATTTATTTTTAAAGTTGGTATGCCACCACAAAGTTTTACACCAGGAAGGAAGAATAAACATGACTCTTTTTATGAAGATTATTCAATATTTAGCGTGTCAATTGGACACAGAATTTTGTGTGAAAAATCGCAACATTTGTATTATGGGGTGTATATATTACTCCTGGAGACATAGACCTGAGAAGTTGATAATATATCCAAGAGGAGTGCTTGACCTTTAAATTGATATGAATTATAATGGTGTATGTGTGAGTTATACGTAAATAGTTAAAGATGTATAACACGCTACAGGGTGGAAATATATCGATGATTGCTTTGAAATTTTATATGAAGTTATGGTCAAGGGCGATGCTATTTTGGAGTGCAATGAACCGAAGACTTGATTTTTGTTAGATTTTTTAGTCGCTCTAGAGGCCACTATTATATGCAGAACATCACATATTTTACACGGTGAAGGGGATCTGAACAAATACTATGAACGGCTTTTTAAATCAATAAAAATCAATCAAAACCTCAACTGACCAAATTTTTATTTTATGGCGTAAAAACCACCTCGTTTTGGCCAGGATTAGAAAGTGGAGCTGTTGACCTATAATCGGTCAAGAGGGTGCAAATATTGCTAATGTTCAGAATACAGAACCGCAGAAAGTTATGTTTCCTTTTTGTCTGTGTAGGTTATAAAAAATCTACGTCTATGGCTGCGATTGAAACCCCCTTGTATAAAATTCTCTCTCACCTTATTATAACAGGAATATGGAAATTGGACTATAGTTGAATTTGGAAACAAAGAAGGTTATACCAAACCATAATTTATCGATAAAGGAGGAGGAGTTTCAAACACCATACGTAGTGTCCTTAATTAGAAATTCTACAGTTTCATTAAATATTTCTTGAAAAGTCTGGAGATATTATCGTACTGTGGGATCTTTCTACAATGTCCATCTGATAAACACAACAATGACCCTCAAGCCAATTTTTTTTTTTTATTTCATGCAAAGAATCCATCATATGGTGGTCTTCTGACCATAAACAGAAACTGAAAAAATGTCACAACAAATCATTCTCAGAGACAATTTCATGTCTTATATATAAACGACCTTGACATTCATGGCAAAAGGGTGGCATGCAGCAGCAATAACATTTTTGAAATATTTTATCTCCATAGTGTCTACAACTACCAGGTATGGCAATCCTTTTTAAACTGAAAATAACTATATTTACGCCTGACACTTCTAGAAAAAAGTAAAATGGAAACATCTTAATATGTTCATGTCTGTGTCTTATTAATAGAATTTACTCATCAATGAGAGAGGCACGTGCCAATCTACAAATGGCTAAGGAATGTAACCAACTTGTCTACTCTACTTCATAGACTGACCACATGTTGACGAAGTCTAGACATGTTGGTGGCAGGCTGGTTGGCTTGCGAAGGTGGTATTGTTAACACACTGACAACAACAATTATGGCTGTCATGTTGTTGATGGTGACAGTTGCTGGTATGGCAAGTGTGGTGGCAGTTAGTAATTTGAGCGTGTGTTTGGCTGATGATCGTTTTGTTTTGTGTTTAGAAAAGTGTTTTCTAGAAAAACGATAGGGTTTCTTCTAGACAATTATTCAAAGGAGTTTGTGAGAACTTTATGTTAGTATGGTATGATAGGCACTGAACTTTTTGAGTGGGAATTACAAAATGGGAATACAAAAGTCGAAAACGTGTGTAGAAATGTGTTTTAGTATGGTGTAACTATAAGGAGGTATGACAGGTTTAACCAGTAAGGAAAGTAGTAAAGTCGAACTGGGCTGACTATATGATACCCTTCACCACTTTGGTTACATATGTATCTGAAAAGACGTCGCCTTTTTGAAGGAATTTTGACATGAAATTGAACGAACTTATGCTAAATTTCATTTCATTTGGGCAAGTTTAGAGTCGTTTGCGCACAGTGGGACAGATTTGTGTAAATCGATTTAAAGCAAACTTGACACACGCTATTCGGTATGCTGCACTGTTTAAAATTTAATCTCAAAAAATAAGTCGAAATTATATATGGAAGCTACGAGATATCTATATCTGAACTGATTTCATCGAAACTTATCACACGTCATTCTAGACGTAATTCAATACGCTATGCCAAAATTCGTGCAAATCAAACGATTTTCGGGGACTTGGGTGCACCATTTACATAAAATCGGGCGAAACTATATATGAGAGCTACATCTAAATCTGAACCGATTTTCACGAAATTTAGCAGACATCGTTCTAGACCTGATTAAGTACTCTATGCTAAATTTCGTGCAAATCGAAAGATATATAGGGACTTTGGTACCCCATTTACCTTAAATCGGACGAAAATATATAAGGGAGCTACATCTAAATCTGAACCGATTTTCGCGAAACTTAGCACACATCATTCTAGACCTTATTCAGTAGGCTATACCAAATTTCGTGCAAATCGAAAGATATATAGGGACTTTGGTACACCATTTACCTTAAATCGGACGAAAATATATATGGGAACTATATCTAAATCTGGACAGATTTTTACGAAACTTAGCACACGTCATTCTGGACTTAATTCAATACGCTATGCCAAAATTCGTGGAAATCAAATGATTTTCAGGGACTTTGGTGCACCATTTACCTAAAATCGGGCGAAACTATATATGGGAGCTATATCAAAATCTGAACCGATTTTCACGAAACTTGGCACACATCATTCTAGACCTAATTCAGTAGGCTGTACCAAATTTCGTGCAAATCGAAAAATATTTAGGGACTTTGGTACCTCATTTACCTTAAATCGGACGAAAATATATATGGGAGTTATATCAAAATCTGATCATAAATGCGACCTGTACTTTGTTTACAATTTAAGATGGACAGACAGACGGACGGACGGACGGACATGCATAAATAGACTCAGAAAGTGATTCTATGCATATTCTCAAAAGGAACCATGGGTCTATCCCGATTATTTTTGCCTGTTACAAACATATGCACAAAGACATAATACCCTGTACCACACTGTGGTGAAGGGTATAAAAACTGGGCTGAAGATCTACATGGTATCGAAAATTAATCGAAACCCTATTTTGGGAAGAAGTTTTTTAATCTCCAGGAATCTGGATTGTCCGTCCCTTCAGTATATCAAAAATGGGCCGAATTTCGGGTCTTTACATATTTCATTTCAAAATCTTACTGCTCCATTTACTCCTATGAATATCGACTACTTTGATATTTTCTATCTTTGGATTTTCTATGTTTGGAAAAGTTATTCCGATATCGACTCTAACGAAATGTATGTAACAGAATTGCGCAAAGGCGCATGGTGTTTAGGCAAATATTTTAAGGAGGTATTTAGCCTGCGAGTTCTCACTCCACACTACACGATTTTCTGGTTACAGCTAAATGTTCCAATCGTATGAGCTATCCTTTAAAATACTAGGTTTCTGCCGTTAATGTGTTTTTTACCTCATATCCTTCATGAATGGCGCCCAACACAAAATTATAACGTTTAATTTGATTTATATTTATTTCAACGGTTAAGATAAATTTTATTATGCCATTTTACCTCATTATCTCCATGGTATAACACGCCAACCGGGTATAGTGTCATCATAAGTATACGTGATATCAAGATTGTCTTGATCAACTACCCTGGCTTCAATCAGACGCCTTAAAATACTTCCAGTTCTTGAATTATACTTATTTCCCCACAAATATAACTTCTTCAACGGCAGTGATTTCTTCATTGTCAAAAGTATCATTGAAACCGCTTCCGATCCAATATTATTATTTTCTAAAAGCAAAGATTCCAAACTCAGACAGGAGCTAAGATATTTTCCAACAACTTCTCCACCATGTGTACCCAAACCGCAACCATTCATATTCAAATATTTTAAAGTACCCGAATGGGAAATAGCTTTTAACAGATATTCAGCCCCATTTGCCGCAATTGTATTATAGGCAACATTCAATTTTAATAAATTTGAATTTTCGTTATATAAATATTCGGCAATTATTTCCATATCATTGGCATTCATTTCACATTTTTCCATTTCAATGGCTTGTAATTTATTTTGCCATATTAATGACGACAGAACCAAAGCAATTTTTTGAGAATCTAAGTTTAACGAGTTGCCCAATAAACGATTACATGTAAAGGCTTTTAAAGTTTGAGATTTGTGTACCCCATCAGCTAGATTGGCAAAGTTGTATTGAGATATACTGCACGAACCGACGTGGAGTTTTTGAAGGGTTCGTGAATCGATAATGAATTGACGTAAATTCAGTATATCGCAGTCAGTTAAGGGGGTTCCTGGAATAAATAAATAATTTGTTCGTAAACATAATTTACATAAACTAAGCTTAGAAACTTCAACATAGGGAAAAATAAATCGAGGCATTACATGGCGTCTGACGTCTTTAAGTTCTGTCGAGCCGAATTTTGTATATTCTGCACCATTAGGCGAACATTTTAAATACCTGTAATCTTTCGGGATCTTCGGGACATAAATGTCCTTGATGATAACCAAATAAGAACCAATTCTTTTCAAAACGTGCGCGAAGTATCTAAAAATGGGGGGTATCGTTATATCCTAAAAAGTAGCCGATATTGATAAGAGGTGTGGGTATATGGAATTATATAAAAGGACCCATATTAATAATTTTTAGTAAGGAGATTGGCTATGGAAATTCCAAATATTATACTAAATTGTAGCCAATTTGGTTGAAAAACGTGCCCAAACTCCCAATAATGCCGAATAATGAAGGGTACCGTTCAATGGGGTTATCATGAAAGGATACCCATAACGAAAATTCGAAGTAGGAAAATAAATAAATTTTCATTACCAAACATACCAGGAGTACTAAAAATGTATATCGTCAATACTTCCGAGGTCTATCTAGGTTAATTAACCAAATCCTTATGGTGGAGGTTATATAAATTAAAAAAACCGAGAATGAAAATGGACTTTTATATGGAGACATTGTCATGGACTTATGTGAAAATAGTTCCGCAAAATTGTTATCTCAGAACCCGAAATGCCAAATTACACCCAATTCGATGGGAAAATTGGGTTAAATGCTTCCAAATACCTAACATGTGTAGGGATTTTATATGGGGCCTATGTACAAATGCAAGCCAATAACACTCAAAAAAATCTTGTTTTTTTGGTTTGAAAATGCTATATGAAACCTCCGAAGAAGCCGGAATGGTAAATCGATAAGTCAAAGCATGGTCCTGTACCAAACATTTTCGACATAATCCAAGAACATGAACTTTCGGTTTATATGGGAACAATTTCAAAATATGAACCTATGTCGAAAATTGTCTGCCGAGATGTATTTCAATCTCCAAGAACGCGGAATGTCAAATTACAGTCACTTCGGTCCGAAACCTTCAAAATACAGAAAATATATATAGACGTTTATATGAGGACCATGCCAAAACATGGACCTACATCAAGAATTCGATAGGAAAATTCACATGGACCCACATCAAAAACGTCTTCAAATATGTTTTTCATCCTTGGAGAGCCAAATTGCAGCCACTTCGGTTTAACATTTGAATAAAATCTTCAAAATACCGAACGGGGCGGTACTTTTATATGTGGACTATGTCAAGACGTCAGTTTACATTAAACATTTTCTGTGAAGAAGTTCTGTACCATGTACCAATCTGTACCATCTGTACCAAAAATTCCGAATTTCAAATTGCAGCCACTAGGATTCGGAAAAGTGGTTAAACCTTTCAAAACGCGAAAATGGATATATATCTTTATATGAGGGCTATGTCAAAACATGGACCCATATTCATAATGTACTAGAAAATTGTTGTCACCCTCCAATAACCTGTTATGCCAAATTACAGATCCTTTTGCTGGAACTAGCCGTAGGTTATACATTAAAATTATGAAATACCAAAACGTGGACCCATTTTTCTACAATCAATTACTTGACCCACCAAGAATGCCAAAATAACAGCCCCTTCGATGGAAAAATGTAGCGAAAGTATGTGTAATGAATGTATAAGAACGGTTATCTGTAAGTCCTTGTTCTAGACCCATATATATAGGAGGGATATTTCAAGAAATGGACCTATATTAATAATTTTTATACCTCCAATAAGTTGGAATGACGAATTACTTGTCTTTCGGTTGGAACATGGTGTTTAAAAATAACGTAAATAGGAGAGCTGTTTTAAATAATATATATCAAAAATGGACAGATATTGAACATTTTCGGCGAATAGTTTTCCCCCTCCTTGAAACAGGAATGTCACATTCCAAATTTTTAAGGTGGTACCCTTATATGGAGACTTTATCAAAATGTGGACCGTTGTACCTAAACAAAGCACTTTCTCATATAGCCATGGCTAAATCGACATACAATTTTACTCAGATCTAGAATATATGTATTTACGTTAGAAGGTCTCTGATGAGGTGTTGCAAACGAAATGTCAAATTTAATACAAACACTATATCCTATGGTGGATGATATATATAATGAGTCTCTGTACTTACCCTCCAACAGCAACTCTTCTACACACAATTCCCCAACATTTTCAGCCAAAATCTCAAAAAAGACCCTTGGCAAATTCATTAGCTTCAATTCGATGCAACGTAAATTCTTTAAACTCGCAACAAATTTCTGAAGCAATTCCAATTCGCTGTCAGCCACTTGCAGACCCACCAGTTTAACATTCTGCAGTTGAGGTCGTAATTTGATAAAATTAACGATAATGGCAAAATCACGTACGGGATTAAATGACCGTCTCATACGTTCTTCAAACCAAAGATGTTCGAAAACAAAATTACGATATGGCCTTTGATCGTACTCACGCTGCCAACAGTCCAACAGTAACAATGTTAAATTGCGATTTTTTATGGGCTGCGGATTGTTAAAACATGGCACAATACGATCACACATTGTAATGAATTTGAAAATTATTTAAGTTAAATAGAAACTATTAAAAATTTGACATACAATGAGTAACTTTGTCAATTTCGAAGAACTTTTATAAATGCGCCTAAAAATATTCTTTACTTTTTAAAACGTGTATGAAATGGGCTCACATTGGGATAATTTACAAACGTTTTAGGAGCATTCTATATATAACATACGTGCAATGTGCGAAAAAGAAAAATTCAAAACACTGGGCGGGGCTTTTTATATCCTCCACCATGTGGTATACCTTCAAAAATGTCATAAATCGATAAGGACACGTCTGTAAGGTGACTATTTCAATATAAGTTTTCGGATAGTAGTTTTTTCGTGATCTAAGACAATTAAATACCATATTCTGAATAAGTTCAATTTGGAAAACTAAAATAGGATCTTCCAAATACCAAAAATTGAGCGGTACGGTGCTAATTAAAAATATGGACCTAAATTGAAAATTTCCTGAAGATTTTTTTATAGTTGACGAGGTATCCGGAATGCCAAATTGCTTCCAATTTGGTGGTATAATGTGGCACAAAATCGTAAAAATATCGAAAATAAAACGGGACCTATATAGGGGTGCTACGTCAAAAATTACAATACATCGAACTTTTTCTGCTAAAAAGGTTTTCATTCTACGAGACAAATTCACTTCGATGACAAATTCGGATACAATTTTCAAAATATCGAAAATAGGCCGGGAATTTTTATATGGGACTTATGTCAAATCATGGATCTATATCGAAATAGGATTTCAAAAAATGTTTCACCATCCACTAACCCCGAATTTCAAATTACAGCCACCTCAGTGGAAAATACGGCTACAGACTTCAAAATATCGAAAATAGGCTCGGTACCTTTATATATAACCGTCAAACTACTGAAAATTGTGCGGAACCTTTATAGATACCACATTACAGACACTATGGGGAAAATTCCTTCAAAATACCGACAAGAACGTTGAGACCTTTATGCATGAGCAATATGGTATCTCAAGGTCATATATGTATGTTAGACTCCTTAAACACAAAATAGTAAATTACAGCCACTCTGGGGGAAAATACATAAAATGGTTCAAAATATCGAAAATGGTTCGGCACCTTTATATGAGGGATATTTCAATACATGTATTGATCATTTTCAGCATAGTCAGCCTCTAAGCTTCCCGAGAATGCCAAATTATAGCATCTATGGTTGGGAAACGCAAAAAAATCATAAATAACAACAATTAGGCGGTAGCGCTATGCCAAAACATGGACCAATATATCTCAATGGCAAAACCAAACATCCTACAAGTCATATCGTTAATTTCGGCCTGCTCGAATTGTTATTACCAAACCATAAATTGGAAATTCACAATATCTTACATCAGTGGGGTCTATGTCGTCGTAAATGGACCGGCAAAAGTATTCTATTCTCTAAATAAAACGAAATATCAAACTACCGATACTCAAGATGAACATTCCGCGTAGAACCTTTAACCTATCGAAAATGAGGCTGGGATTTTATATGGACGTAATGTCAAAACATGGCAAATGTCGATGAATATCTTATTTATTTCAAAGGGAAATCCTAGCAAACCAATTAGTACTGCTGGATCAACTCTAAATGTATCCTGATTTTATGCAAAGCTTCTCAATAATGTTTCCAAACTGTTCTTTTTTGTTAATTCATTTATTTATTTATTTACAACAACAATAATAAAATCTCAAAAACTAAAGACATCTCAACTCATTTCCAATCACCAACTTCATAATCCCATTTCGATGATATTCCCTCAATGGGATTTATTTCCAATGCAATAATCCTCTTCAATTGAGCCTGACGACGATCTTCATCGAAGGTATCGGGTAAATCACGATGATACCAATTAACAAATGCCGTCCACACAATACCGATGGCACATGCCCACAGTCCCACACCCAAATGATGTTTCCATTCCCCGGTGGGTGCTTTAAATTCGGCAAAGGTTTGACAAAAACTATAACGGTAAAGAGTTTTGATTTCCTCCTTGGATAACTTCTTCCAATCGCCTTTCTCCTTTTCACGTAAAGCACAAATTGTGGCATCGGTTTCACGAAAACGTATTGCGGGCATTGGAAACTCGGCAATATCACAATAAATTGGTGCACCATTGACTCCAAAACCGACATATTCACGTTTGCCGCATTTCGTATTGGTAAAATCAAACGATGTTTGACGTTTGGCGATAAGTTGGGGAATCCTTTTTAGATTTGTAATTACGATCCTTTTGCTGAGAAATTTTCCAATATGTAGGGACATTTTTAAATTATTTTAATTAATAGTGGAATTATTTATTTCCTTTTGTATTTTGAAAAATATGTCAATCGATGACAATAATTTAAATGTGATCTATGCTGTAATAAGACAGGGTTTACACGTGCAACTATGATGATAGTTGAAAAAATATTGTTTAAAAATCCACGCCTATGGCTCTGATGATAGTTGAAAAAATATTCTTTAAAAATCCACGCCTATGGCTCTGATGATAGTTGAAAAAATATTCTTTAAAAATCCACGCCTATGGCTCTGATGATAGTTGAAAAAATATTCTTTAAAAATCCACGCCTATGGCTCTGATGATAGTTGAAAAAATATTCTTTAAAAATCCACGCCTATGGCTCTGATGATAGTTGAAAAAATATTCTTTAAAAATCCACGCCTATGGCTCTGATGATAGTTGAAAAAATATTCTTTAAAAATCCACGAAAAAATATTCTTTAAAAATCCACGCCTATGGCTCTGATGATAGTTGAAAAAATATTCTTTAAAAATCCACGCCTATGGCTCTGATGATAGTTGAAAAAATATTCTTTAAAAATCCACGCCTATGGCTCTGATGATAGTTGAAAAAATATTCTTTAAAAATCCACGCCTATGGCTCTGATGATAGTTGAAAAAATATTCTTTAAAAATCCACGCCTATGGCTCTGATGATAGTTGAAAAAATATTCTTTAAAAATCCACGCCTATGGCTCTGATGATAGTTGAAAAAATATTCTTTAAAAATCCACGCCTATGGCTCTGATGATAGTTGAAAAAATATTCTTTAAAAATCCACGCCTATGGCTCTGATGATAGTTGAAAAAATATTCTTTAAAAATCCACGCCTATGGCTCTGATGATAGTTGAAAAAATATTCTTTAAAAATCCACGCCTATGGCTCTGATGATAGTTGAAAAAATATTCTTTAAAAATCCACGCCTATGGCTCTGATGATAG